AAATATACGTTATGTATATATATATAATTATGTATAATTACGTATGATCGTTTATATATGTATACAAAATTTTTTATAAGAAACCAGGTCGATTTAAATAAAAATGACAGATCTTGCACTTCCATGAAATTGACATCCGACCTTTACAATTCAGGTTTTAAAAAGAATATTTCTTGTAGAATTTTGCCTGTAGTAATCATTTCGTAGTTCAAAAATAATTTGTAGTTAAAAAATAAGAATATATTTCTGATTTTTAAAAAACAGATAGGATTTTTTTCATCTATAACTCAAATGACACTAGATTTATATATGAAATTGTTTGTAGTTGTTTGTAGTAACAACATTTTTGTAATTAAAAAAATAAGAATGCTATCGATTTAAAAAAGACAGGTACGACATTTTTCTCAGCTATAACTCAAATAGCATCAGTTATATATATGAAATCATTTATAATTGTTTGTAGTGATTTTTCGGTTGTTTGTAATTGCACCATTTAATTAAAGTTACAACAAATTTACAAAAAACAAATTACTGTGTCAATTTAATTCTGTCAATTTTTGAGATATCTAAAAAATTGACAGAATTAATTTATTTGTTTATTGTAAAATAGTTTGTAATTTTTGAATGATTCAATTACAAACGATTCTAAAGAAGATGCCGCAAGCGAATTAGAGATATCTCAGAAATTGGTTACTGGTTATTGATAATTTATTTATAAGTTTGTTATAACTTTTAAAACGATTTCATATACATATATATGTATAACTGCAGGTGCTATTTGAGTTGTAGCTAAGAAAAATGTCGTACCTATCTTTTTGCATTTTTATTTTTTAACTACAAGTAAAGTGCTACTACAAACAACTACAAACGATTTCATATATAAATCTAGTGCTGTTTGAGTTGTAGATGAAAAAATTTCTTACTTCTAATTTTCTGTTTTTTAAAAATCGAGATCATTCTTTCTTTTAAACTACAAACGAAATAATGATTACTACAGGGTGCGTCACCAAAATCCAGTTTCAATTTAAATTTTCCGCTATATTGTGCCTCCGCCAGAGGTTGTTGTTGACGTTCGAAAAAGTCTGATGCTTCTATTAAATAGTCGTATTCTCAAAATGGCCACTATGTTGAAATCAAGTGCGGAGTATAATCGAAGAGCCGCGATCATCGAAGACCTTCGCGCTGGCAATTGATGGGCACTCAGCAACGGAAATAATTCGGTTCTTTGAATACCCGAGATCAACCGTTTATGACGTGGCACAATATACGGCTTTAGAACAGTCCAACGAAAGTTCCAGTATGCTAGCGAGAAAGAATGCGAGGATCCTCGCAGTCGTTGAAAGAGCTGATTTCGGAGGGCATCGTTGCGAAAATTAGCGTCGATTGTTGGTATAAGCGAGCCAACAATGCGTCGAAGAGGATCTTCGATACATATCATACATATTAAAGATATGACAGATGCTCTTTGAGGCTGCCAGGACAAGCCGAGTTGCTCGTCTCGGCTCCCATTCTGGCCTCCAAACAGCTCAGGTTTAAATCCCTTGAATTACTACGTATGGAGCGTAGTTGAAAGGGTCACAAACAAGTCTCGGCATCTCAATGTGATGTTATTAAGGACTGCTATTGAGGCAGCATTCGTTGTCGTGGATAGCGCTATATTACAGCGTGCATGCGAACTTGAGACTGAGAAGCCATCATTCAAATTAATGAGAGGGGGATATATTGAATAATTGTGCTCAAGGATACCCTAAGTGCCACGTAAAAAGATTTTTTGTAATATTTAATGTTTCATTAAAAACATTTTGTTTTTAATAAAAAAATTGTTAATAAAAAAATTCGATTTGTTCGGATTTTGGTAATATATCTACAGGCAAAATTCTACAAGAAATACTCTTTGAAACCTGAATTGGAAATCCATAGTCAAATGTGGACACAGATGACTATGGTTTTGTAATTAAGATTTAATCGAATTTGCTGCCAATTTGCGCACAAATTGCTAACATTTTGCTATCAGGATAATTAAACTATTGATTTTGAATTTTTATTTTACTACGACTAGATCATCAATTTATATTTTTATTTATTAATTAGCTTACTTTAATTGGCTTTTAAATGTAATTAGACTAAAAATATTTGCATGTTGATCGAATAATATGTTTTAACTTAAAAAACTTTAATTCTTTATTTTCTCTCTTCCTTATGATATTCTCACTTGTAAATGTATCTAGGTCTTTCTTCTTCTGCGAGTTTTACGGCATTACCACCGACATTCGCCACAGACATCATAAAGTCTCGTCTCGCTTGTTGCAAGTCCTCCAACTTGTCCTGCACTGCGACCGCTTCAGCAGCTTCTTGCTCATCGAGAGTCTCACTACCAAACAATGTCCGTAATTAATAAGTCATTGCAATTATTAATCTGATAAATAAACAAATTTAAAAAATTCTTTGGAATTATTTATTATGAACAAAGAAATTCCCAATATTCGTCATGAAATAGTTCTGGATTCATTAAGTTTACTGTAATATTCCTATTAGAAGATTCAGAAGTTTTTAATACATAATCCGATTTACATGTTGAAATACAATATAATCTTTTTTTTTTCATATTTTCTTTGTGTTAAAGACAAAAAGGAGGAAAGGAGATTCGCAATTTTCCAACTTTCATCTCGCAGGAATGAATCTTTTTAGATTTATTCATCTGTTTTTCATCGGGATAATTTCACCTGATCACTTGAATTGAACGATTCGCTATGTCAGATACCGCCGCTTCAACGCTGACCGAAGGTGGTTGAGGGATGCTGACGATAGTGGTCCGAGTCTCGTCCACCGAGTTCGGTGGTATCACAATGCTATCAATTGGGCCCTCGCCTACTGGCTCGGCTTGGATCACCTGGGCATTCATGGATCTCGCTAATTCCCTGGTTCTCTCGGGGATAGCCGGGGGTTCCGGTATTCTCTCTGGCGTCACTCGTCTCTCTGGCGTCACTCGTCTCTCTGGCGTCACTCGTCTCTCTGGCGTCACTCGTCTTTCTAGTCTTCTCGCTGGTCTAGGAGGCGAAATCGGCGGAGATACTGTCGGGGCAGCTCTAATAGGTCGTCGCCTCTCTCTACCTAATCTAGAGTGTAAAAATTGTAAAATAAAATGCATTTTTTAAGATGCATTTTAGGAAAAACGGTACCATAATGTACCTAAACGGTACGCATACAAGTATAGTGTTGATACGTTGTATTATAATATCATGCACATTTTTTGTGTATTGCTACAGTTACGCCGTAGCAGTACAGTAAGGGGCTCCGCATAATAAAAGGAATAGGGAACAAAGAATAAGAATTTCAACTTATCAGAAACTATGTATTCCATAATGATTTCTGATAAGTTGAAATTCTTATTCCCTGTTCTCTGTTCCATATTCCTTTTATTATGCGGAGTCCTTAAATTCGATAGTGGTATTTTGTGTGGATATCGTGGGATATCGCACGCTTGGTTATCTGAATAATAAAACTACAAAATTAATTAATTTTGATAACATGCGTACCTAAAGCGTATATTATATTTGATACGGTATGGCGTATCAAAAATATAATGTACCGGTACTGTAAGCTTTAAATACGCACATATGTGACAGATACAGTACCGGCACACATAGTACCTTGTACATACACTCACCGTACCAACACCGTAGAGATATTTTGCTAACTGGGTTTTATTGATTAAACTTGGATAATATCATTAAAATTACAGTTTTAAATAAAAATCGAATATTATTAATTAAGTTTTAAACATATATGTATATGTCTACAAAGCTAATAAATATATAATAAATTATGAAATAAATACCGTATGTGAATAGTTTATTACTCTTAATCATTTAAATTTTAATAGGCACGCGAATTTTCATAAGCATCGATCTTTAATAGTATTTCATCGGTGGTACGTTAAAGAAACTGAGAAAATTTTGATCGAAAAATTTATAAACGGCAAGTGGAAGCGCAGCATTATTGAAAATGTACTTTACGTGCCATCTCTTCGAAAGAATCTTTTCTCAGTGGGTGTGTGCACATTAAAAGGCTATAAAGTGCAATTCAAAAGACAAAGTGTAATTGTGTTTGTAAATGATAAAGCGGTTGCAAAATAGGATAATGATAATTTATCGGAAGTTCTTTCGAACAGTAAAATCAATTCAAGTTAATTCAAGCAGAATCAATCTTTGGTCGCAAACTTAAAAATGTAGCATTTAGATTATATAAATCAAGGCTTTATTTGCCAGATGGCTAAAAATGATTATATGCGAAGACTCAAACTCAAAGATAAAAATTATTCTTTCTGTGAAACCTGTCAATTGGGCAAGTCGCCATTCGCGAAATGTGATTTGTCAAGATAATCTTGGAAAACGGGTGAATTAACTATTAGATGTGAAAAATAACGTTTTGACAACGAAATTTTATGTTACGTGCCATTTCATTATTATGTGCTTAGTTGTAAAAATGTGATTTTTTTAAAGTAATAAATAATTATTGGAGAAAACTAAACAATATTAAGAATCTTTATTTTAGACTGCATATGTAATATATGTAATATAAGTATAAGAAACACAATCAATACCAGAAATTTAAAATGCCTATTAGCCAACCATTAAAATGCCAGTCGAAGCTGGATTT